ACAACTGCTACATTATTACTAGGACAATTTTTGATGGGTGCATTACAAGTGCTACATTATTACTAGGACAACTATTGATGGGTGCATTACAACTGCTACATTATTACAAGACAACTTGTGATTGGTGCATTACAACTGCTACATTATTACCAGGACAATCTGTGATGGGTACATTCTTGTTACATCATTTTTGTGACTTGGCAGTTTTTGTTATGAATAATGATTTTGTGACAGGTAGTTTTTTTTTAAATACAAATTGCTTGGTGACAATAATAAAAAAATGATAATAGATCATAAACTGTACAATCATTTGGGGACCATTAAAAAATTAGATAATACTATGGGGGTGAGAGGGTGTCTAAGCCTGCATTAGGATATGTTAGGGGGTAGGGAGTGTCATGAACAGTGATACATAAATGAAATTACAGTGAAAAATATTTATAACATACTGAAAACACCTTTAACAACTTGAACATTCACGAACATAATGTATGTATCATTTTTGTGACAGAGGGGTGAGGCAGGGTCCTCCATTACTTGAATTAGGTATTAGTGAATCTAGTAACAAAATTCACCAATCACAAAAAACACTTGTAACAAAACCTTTCGTAATGATGTGATGCTGTAACAAAATGTTTTTCATAATAAAAGTCCATGTCACAAACTGTCCATAACAAAACTTCTCAGATTTGAAAAACAGGCACAACATGAACTGTTAACTGAATACCAGTGGTGTGTAAAAAACTCAGAATATTTGAAGAATGGTCATTAGAGTCAAATATTCAATTATGATTTTCCATAATCAATTACAATATTATAATTATTTTTTGTTAATACGATATTTTTATATTTTTGTTATAACCTTGTTTCCCTACCTTGTCACAAGAAAACTAGATATTTATGTAGTAAATCAAACATGGTTAAGACAGGTATTTCCACTGGTTAACAGTTCCCAAACCCAGCCAAGCTAATCTTTTGTTTTATAACAAAAAACCTAAAAGAATTCTCAGAAACTATTTTATACAAAACAAAATCAATAAGAACTTATCACTTAAAAGTTCTATAAAATTAAAACCAATGATTTTAACAAGAATGTCCATACACAATAAATATTAAGCCATAAGTTTTCATGTTTTATTTTGCTATGAATTTATCCTGGACAATAAATATACAGAAACAGAAAAAATTCCAAACAAACACAACTAAGTTCCAATGCTTTTAATTTAACTTCTTGAAGAAAAAAAAATTCTGCTGACCAATTATAATCAATTTCTCTGATAAACCAATCACTGATCTTAATATTTCAACCAATTCTCAGCAGTACTAAATAAATTTGTCTTTCTAAAATGACAAAGGCTTTGAAAGTACCACTAAAAGCTTACCTGTAAATAAATTTGATTATTTAACCTTATGATATACAAGTAATTCACTTTTATCTGACTAATTTTATGTCCATTTTTCCACTACATGCAGGTATTGATGGGGTACTGTATATAATTTGTTCTCCTTCTCTAAGAAAGGATACTGACTTTTTGGAAATGGATCAGGGGGCCACTACATACAGAATGATCATAAGGATAAAAAAGTTGTCTTATGGAGATAGGCTAACATGTGGTAATATATTTTCTCTTGAGAAAAGAAGTGAAGCTGTGATTTCATTGTGCCATATCTTGAAGAGGAGTTTAAGATTTTGAAAATATATGCTAGGCTCCAGTAAAGATAGTGTTATTATTCTAATAGAGTGATTAGTTTAAGAAATAAAGTGCCATCAGCAATAATAGAGGCTGGCATCTTACGGGTGTTTAAAAGGGGAATTGTTAAGTTCCTGAAAACAAAGGGTGGTTTTAAAATGTTTATTTTTTCCTCAGGTGTCGGGTGTGAAAGGATAGTTTGAAAGATCAAATGGTCCCTTGTTGTTCATGTGTTAAGGTACGTTAGCTTTCTAACTTCTACAAGGAAGCATGAATTCAAATATCTCATTTAAGCCTTTTACTAAGTATCATCTTCAGTCACGGTCCCTTGAGTATACTTTAAACATAAACCTCCTGGTAAGGATGAAAGATCCAATTTAATGTAGTTTACTGATTTATGTACACATTACAAACAATGATTTAAAACAAAGTACTTTCTTAATATGTTTACAATATGGATAATAAAATTAATGTGTTTAAAATGTTTTTGTTTTTTGATTGACCAGGCTTGTAATTAGAATTGGATGAATAACTTGAGTAATAGATTACCTATGAGCACTCATTACATCAATTAGTGTTACATAAAATAATTAATAGAAATTACAATTAAATTTATTAATGTGATGAAAATGATCAACTAATCAAAATTAGTGTTTCTGATTATTAGTTTTTGACTACTCCAACTAAGTAATCAAAATATTGCCATTATGATTTAATGTTATTATTTTTTATTATTGTGAGAATAATGAAATAGTTGAATGTAATTTATTAATGAGCCTGATTATTAATTGATTAACAAATTCCATTAATCACCCAGCTCTAGAAATCATTGCTTTACATTCAATTGTAGTAAGGTTTTTGAGCTCGTTGCTGACATAATATTCTGTTGCAAAACTTTTTGCACTTCAATGGAGAACACTGAAGGCTCCATTCTTCAAAATATTGTGCTCTTTGGGTCAACATAATTTAACAATCTTGCCATGTGATTATAATTCTCCAGAAAGATTTTTATATCCTTGTAGCCAAAACTTTACCCATGGTAATACTACATTATCAAATTGTTGGGAATTGGCCATGTACCAAATACATAGGTGTTAAATGAGTTCTCTGTGGAGTTAAGACTTGCCAAACCACTGTATACAAATTGTTCAAATAACACAGTTAAATATCTTGATCTGTCAATATTCAGTAGCGTGTTTCTACACATTTGACGTTCTTTTCAACATTTTACAAAATTAACTAAAAATCTGCAATTTTTCTAGAATAATTAAGCCTACTTGTTCCAGTGACATATCCAGATATTACTACTTTTATATCTCGAAAAAATAAATTTAGAGGTTACAATTACAACATGCAACATTTTCATAACATCAACTTGGACTTTATTCACAAATTATTTGTTTGTAATTAAGCACAAAGCTACACAATGGGCTATCTGTGCTCCGCCCACCACGGGTATCAAAACCCGGATTCTAGCATTGTAAGTCCGCAGACATACCGCTGTGCCACTGGGAGGCTATTCACAAATGACACTTTAAAATTCAATGTACTTTGTTGCTTTCTGTTATTTTCTGCATTTTATGCAGTTCAATAATAATTTAATATATTATTTTGATGAGAACTATAAAATATATTCCTGGCTAAAAGTTGTACAAGTAGTGACTGATAAACAACCAAAAGAATGTTGCTTAATTTATGAATAGTTACTAGTTTTGTTTCACGTTTTAGAAGGCTATACTTTAACACCATTTGAAATACTTTGTTTGCTTTTGAGCTAGAATAACCAGAATTATAAAGACAGATATCAACATATATGATCATAAACAAAGAAATGAGCTAGAAGTAGTAATAAATCATATGATAAATGATGCTGTATGTATATACTAGACCATTTAGTTAGAAATAACAAGTTTCAATTATGATATACTAAAGTTGAAAACAATATTAATTATATAGGTCATAATAATAAACATTCAAAATAAACTAAAATTGTCTTTAATTTCTGAAATTATAGACTTAATGAATAGATGTGGCTATAACAACAAACTGGTAATTCAATATTTCAATGTATTGATTAAACATTTTAAGGCTTTTCATTTTTTTATAATATATTAATAGCAACCAAACAGTTTGGAATATAATTTCTCATTTATATTTTCAGACTATAAATTACTAAACTCTATATATTTCAAAGTTAAAAACCTCTAAAATAAATAAATAAGTTAAATTTCAAAGACCTACAGTGTCTTGGAATGTCAACTAAGTATATGTTGCAAAACCTAAATAGCTGGTTATGCATGGTCTTATTTTAATTTGATCTACATTCAAACAGGTGTTATAGTTTCATTTGCCTGTTTTCTCTCACGAAGTTGCACCATTGCTTGTGAAAGAAAACGAAATAATTTTTTTGAAATATCAACAAGCATAATATTAATAAACAGGCCTATTTCATCCACAATGTAAGTTATCAAATGATAAAACGTTCATTAATCACCGTCTCTCGTGGAAACCGTATATATATTACATAAACCGAGGAAAGTCAATGACATTTAATGATTGACGTAACGTTACAAACTTTTTTTAAAGTTCAACTTTAAGCCTATTCCTACCCGAAACTCGCACTGAATAACTTCGTTATCATCTATAAGCCTGATGGTGCAGGTGTAATCCTTGTTCATACTCTTCTTACTACCGATTCTGAACATGTTATAGATTTGTTATTCCGGCGCTAAGTGATTACTGAAATTTTGTGACTATATTACTGTTACAACATTAACAAGTACACTAACCCCCTAAGTAAAAGCAAACTGTAAACTGCAGTTAACTTTTCGTTGATAATCTGGGGCTACAACACAGAACTTTCGCGCCACCATACAGTAAGAAGAATATATAGAACATTTAAAATGCATATGTATTAAGCACATGACCAAACATATTTGTCAACAGAGGATTGTGTTTTAGTTAATTAATTTTAATTTCAATGAATTAATGGTTGGAAGGCGCCAGCTAGAAGACTTAACGCTAGCTAATGTCACATCGAATTTTATAGGAGACAGGCAGTGTTCAAGTACTTATCTACTAGCCATTTAGTCTTATTTCAGTAAATTCGGAAGTTGCAAAATTTCTAGAGTTTATACTAAAAGACATTCTGCAACAGCATTTAGATAAGTTACGTATATTATCACAGATAGTCAGATGGTACATTTAATACAATTATTATATATTAACTAAATGCAGAGAATTTGGTGTACTTCAATTTTTAGAAAGCTTTTAATAAGTTGTCACATAACAGAATTTTTAGAAATATTGTAATTGTTCACAGGATATAAACTAGTGATATGAATTAAGAGTAGTTTGGGTGGAAGAAGACAGAACTCAGGTTTCATTATTAATGTGAATACATTAATATTACACAGGTAGTGTTCCTCAGGATTTTGTGCTACGTCTTTGCTACTTCCATTTTCATTATAGACGTTGATAATGGAATTACCACCAAACTGGATAATTTACAGAGGCTGTTGAATTAATTAGTATTTGTTATTGTACTGATCTAAGATGCTGTAGTTGGGCAGAGATATTTAGACTGTTTGTGTATATGGACTGATCTGGTAAATGCCTTTTAATCTTGATATATGAAACGTTATACACATCGTTATCACATGACTAATTATTCTTATAACCTTATTTGAGAAACTCTTAAGTAAAGTTTATGACCAAACTTTTGGGGAATAGCTTTGAAAGAAAAATACCTCTAGACAATGTATATGTTAGCTAGCAATAGGGCAAACATACAAATATTAATTACAGGCCAAAATAAGTCATTAATTTACTCTTTAAGGCGCTGGTTAGACTTGATTTGAAATGTTATGTCCAATTTTGGAAAGGATGTTGAAATATTAGGGAGAGCTAAGAGAAAAGCTATTAGAATTATTTAAGGTTCGGAAAAATTATGGTTTGGAAACAGATTGAAATCTTTCTACATGGTTTTGTTCGAGAGAAGAAGGGCATGCGAGAACACGATTAAGTTTTTTAAGATTATTAGAAACTTGGAATAAATTAAAACAGAATTTACTAGTTTCAGTTTATGTATTGTTGCGTCAGC